TCTTCACCTGGTGCCCAAAAGATGATGAATTTGCTGCTAGGCAGGCCTCAGTGGGGAGGATGTTCTATAGATGGGAATGGGGACAGCACACAGAAAGCCCTGTTCTGTCCTGGCCTCCAGTAATCATGGCAAGAGTCACCAGAAAACCCCTTTACTGAGGCAATTCCCTTTGTGAGCTTCACAGCTTTCTTAGAGGCAAGCAAAATATGCACATTCAGGCAGTTGGGCCTCCGGTTTCCTCTCTGGGCATAAAGAGCATGAGCCAAGTGCTCAGTCCTTTAAATACAGCTCCCAGGAACAGCCACATCCCAAGGTCCTGCTCCCACGAGGGGTTGGAAGCTTTCCAGGGTTGTGATCTGTTGTCTCCTACAAAGGCCATGAGAAGCTCCCCAGCTGTATAAACAGGGAGTGGTTCTATGAATTGCTACCCAACCCTCAGTCCTGGCAGGGAGACTGGTAACTCAGAAAACAACATTCTGAGCATAATGTGCCCCAGCTTTCCAGGCTCCAGAAGGCCAGGGAAGGGTTAATCTAGGAACTGACAAAACACTGGAAATCCCAGGCGCCAGCCTAGTGGGAATCTGGCGCCCAAGACCTTTGGGAGAGATCATCCTCCCTTCTGTGTCAAGGAGGTGAGAGCTACCAGCAGTGGCCTCAAGGACGCTGGAGAGAACAAGGGATGGCTGGCTAACAAGTGGCACCTGGAGTTAATGGCTGGCCCAGGGACTGGGAGGTGGCCCATCACCCCACGGTCAGCTGCCCTAGGCTTGTGGGGGGCATAGAGCCGGAAGAAGCGAGCAGCCTTTGGTTCCTCCCCTGGGAGTTTCTGTGCCTGCTGCCAATCCTCCTTGCCCAAGGGTGCTGGGGCACCCAGCATATCCTGTGCTGTTCACAGGCAGAGTGTCTGTGGACAGGCTAGGGTAGCAGCTGCTTGCAATCGGGTGGGCTAGCAAGGTCCTTGGAGTGGGTTCTTGGTTGGCTGTAACTTGCCCTGCTGCCGTTGCCCAAGTCCCCTTTCCCCCTCCCTTTCCCCTCCTCCCTGTTTTTATCTGCCGTAGGATCTGTCTGTGAGACCCTCCACCCCTACATTTTAACCTGTTAATACAGTTGTTTGTTTCCCCAAGATTGGGCTTGCTGTGTGCTGAATCCAGTGGCTGGTCCAGGCTGCTGGGACCGGAACCTTTCTGGGCAGGATTTGGCCCAGTTGGCCAGGGAAGTGGGGAATCCCCGCTGCTTTTCCATTACAATGAGAACAGGCTGCACTAGTAGTGTCTAGTTAAAAAACTGAGTGTTCAGTTACTTTTAATACTGAATGACAGTAGCTGCACTCCAACCAGCTGGAGTAGGAGTCACAAAGTTCAACTTTGGAAGAAAATTCTGTCCCTCCAAGAGTGCCAGTAAAGTCTGTTATTGTTATTTAAATAGGAAACATAAAGCATAACCTGATTTTAATTGTAATGTCTCGCTACAGTTTGAAAGGCAGGATCTGGGCCCCATGAGCTCCAGCTGTAAGCAAGCTGAGCTGTATATCTAGGTTAACAGCAAGACATCCAAAGCTTGGTTACCGAGTCTGCCTTTTCCAAATACTTCTGGGCAAAGTTCTCAGAAGAGGATAACAGCAAATCTGCTTTCCTTCCCTCAGAGCAATTTGCACATCAATGCCTCCCACATTGTTTGCTCTTAAGAAACATTGATTTGCCATGACATCTGTCACAAAGGGGGGCACTGTATTGATCACTTTTCCTCCCCCAGTAGTGTCAGTTTGTCCCTGAAAGGCTCCAGTTCAGCATGTCCTGGTGTTGCCCCCAAGATTTGTCAGACTGTCACCTTGCAAACCGGTCCTTTCTAACTGGGGAGAGTCATCCAGCTCCAAGGAACCAATTCTAGTGTTTGTGCAAGCTCTAACAAGGTCTCAAGTCATTCTTAGAAAGATAACATGCAGTGATTTTCAGCAGCAATTTCAGCAGATTTTGTCATTAGAGGAGGCTAATACCATTGATTTTTTTAAAATTTCCTATATTAATTGATCATGTGAGGGAATAAAGTATCTTTCACTGGCTTAATAATATTAATTATGCCACTAGCTTTTGGCTTTTCACAGCTGCTGAAATTCCTAGGAGTTTCTAAGAGATAGCTGCATTTACTTTCCACCTAGCCAGTCTTCCAAAGATGAAACAACTACAATAACTCTAAAGGATTACGAAATGATTCCATGTGAAGAGTGACAATGCTTTCAAGAGTTAAGAGCTTCAGAGAATGAAAAAAAGAAATGAGCTGGAGACGGATGCTTCCCTGAGCCCTTCCTGCCCACTGCAGCTGCAAGGGCAGGGGCAGGGCAAAACCTCCGTGTTCCCGTAGGGTCCCCTGGGATTCTTGTGGGAGGCCTGAGCAGGGCACTCACTGGGTGACTTTGGCCCAGACACTCAGTCTCAGGCTAACCTACCTCCCGGGTTGTTGTTGTGAGGAGAACATGGAGTGGAGGAAGACCTCGGACCTTGGGTCCTGCACAAGAGGGATAAAGAGAGGATCTAAATGCAATTTGATGATGATGATGATGATGATGAATGTGCCTGATTGCATGCTCATTGGAAGCTTGTGCCACAGTGTGGGTTGTCATGTTATGCTGCATTGATTCATAGAAAAGCCCTATCAAGGCAAATTTTCAAGAAATCACTACCCACTGATTGTACGATGCATTGTTGTTATTACATTACATTTCTTGTAGCTGAAGC